GCCAACTGAGCACCGAGCTCGAGCAAAGTCGAAGCTCGAAGTGAGAACGAATGTGGCCGCGTCGCCAACTGAGTGCGGCATTGAACGCGGAGACGAACTTGGCTTGTAATGCCAGCTGAGCACCCAGAAGCCGACCGAGCGCTGAGCTCGAACGAAAGCGGGTTAGCGGATTGCGAACGCAAGATGATTCCGTCACTCCGAAGAGGATGTCCTGTGTGTGGGAGGGCCCGCTCCCTTCCTTCTAGCCCGAATGCACACAGGGAACCAGCGGCTGCTCTTCTCCAGCGCTCGAGGACCGCTTCGTCTCTCTCAGGGCGTCGTCGTCCGCCCGACGCTGTACTGCCTCGACAGTTCTTTGGACGTGGGAGGACCCCGTGCATGCGACCCCGGGACTCCTTTTGTAGGTGGTCTGCTGCTCGCCAGAAAGCAGAACGGCAGCCTCCAGTCTTGTGTAGCTCAGCCCTGTTAACTCGTCTCGTTTCGGCCGAAGTAGGCCCTGTCAAGATCTTGTCCGTCCTTTTTAGAGCCAGTGTTGAATAGACCTGTCTCCTTCTAGAAAAGGGGGGCCTCATTACGTATTTCGAGGAACGGCCAGTAGGTCAGGATCCGCTTTCTCTATAGAAAGGTCGGCCCTGGTTAGCTCGTTCCTAATAGCTAGTTTCACTCCTGCCGAAGTAAATAAAGAATAATCTGAAGAAACGGCTGCAGACTTCTTATGGAGTTAAACGTGCGGTGCTTGAACTGTGGGTGTGAACTAAGGTGTGTGTGTGTGATAGGGCAGTGCCATTGCCCTCAAAACGGTGATGGTGAGCTATTGACAGCGAATGATGTCCACCTTAGAAACGGATGGGATGATATCAACGGTTCAGGGAGTGATAATGACCATGATAACCATGATGATGATGATGATGATGATCATCATCATCATCATCATGAAGATGATGATGAAGATAATGATGACCACGATGATGATCAGGGCGATGATCATCATAATGATGATGATGCCGATAATGGTGTTATGAAGCGTTGGAATCAGAAGACGGGGGATGGCGATAATGAAGGCGATAAAGAATTGTTGGAATCACCTCAAATTGCTGACGATGATGAGGTTAAGGATAATGGTGGCATGGATCGCTGGAATCAGAGGACTGCAGCTAAAGAAAGGGAAAATGAGAGCCCAGGTCTGGGCGGTACACTTTATTGGGATAAGAAGAGAAGTGAAGACAGGAGAGTGGATTTCAAGGATTCTGGCGACCTGAAAGGCAGTGAGCAGGAGGGCAAGGACAACAGTGTTGGAAAAACTCGTACCTGGATGGGGACGAGGCGAGAATGGAGAATTCCTTGGTGCGTAGAGAGAACGTCCTGTGTGTGTGTGTGTGTGTGTGTGGGTGTGTGTG